CTTTCTTGTAAACACACCCCTTCTGGTGCACTGATGGCATACTTTAAGCCATCAGAATGAGCATGTAAACGCACCCCTTCTGGTGCATTTGATAACACTTTAAGCCATCAGAATAAGCATGTAAACGCACCCCTTCTGGTGCAATCGATACAATGCCTAGAATTCTCTTAATTTCGATGCTTTACCCTGCATTTGCTTATCGTTGAGTGCACCAGAAAGGCTGCGTTTAGAAAAGCACAAAGTATACCTCAAAGAATAGTTTAGAGTAATGAAGTGAGTTTTCATAAGTTCAAAATCGAGATTGGTTCAAATGGGAAGGAGATTGGTGGTGAAGTGTCCTTGACATGAATGAAGAAAGAAAAGGCTCAATAAATTCTTTTCTCAAAACTATTGGTGCTTTTGTGAAGGGAAAAGGGAAAAAAAACGGTCGGTATGAAGAGAAAATGGTGGGTGGAAAGGGGGGAAGGGGGGAAGGAGGGAAGGAAGAACGGAGGGAAGGAAGAAAGGAGGGAAGGAAGAAAGGAGAAAAGGAGGAAAAGTCTTGTTGGTGCCGAAAGATTGAAACGCTCATGGGAATGTCAAAAGGCAAGGTTAAAAAAGTGAATCGACTGCGGGAATTTTGCCGACTATATTAGTTTGTCCCATAAAAATTCAGAGATTTTTCTCTTGACTCGCTGACAAAACAACTTTTTGTATTTATCTTTTTTCATTTCATGCTGAAACTTTCTTCTTTCTTGCACTAATATTCATTTTTTAGAGATCGACACGAGAAGAGAGTTGAAGTCGATCGAATGAAGCGATCGAATGAAGCGATCGAATGAAGCGATCGAATGAAGCGATCGAATGAAGCGATCGAATGAAGCGATCGAATGAAGCGATCGAATGAAGCGATCGAATGAAGCGATCGAATGAAGCGATCGAATGAAGCGATCGAATGAAGCGATCGAATGAAGCGATCGAATGAAGCGATCGAATGAAGCGATCGAATGAAGCGATCGAATGAAGCGATCGAATGAAGCGATCGAATAAGGATCGAATGAAGCGATCGAATGAAGCGATCGAATGAAGCAATCGAATGAAGCAATCGAATGAAGCAATCGAATGAAGCAATCGAATGAAGCAATCGAATGAAGCAATCGAATGAAGTCAACTCGAGAAGAAATCCATGCCCTACTGCTTCAACGATTTTCAAAAGGGTTTTCAGCAGCTAAAGCAAGACGAGAAATCAATGAATTTTATGGGCACAGAATCGTGGGAACGAGTACTGCACAGGAATGATTTCACAAATTCAAAACGGGCAACAAGAGGATCAAACAGAAGAGGGCAAACGGTCGACTCCCGAAAAGTGATTCTGAGGCAACGACTCTTGCGAAACTTTGATGGATAAACCCGGAAATTTGCTGGATGTTACTGTGGACGAATGACTGTGTGGTGGTGGCTGTGAAAAGTGAGAAGAAACTAGAGAAAACAACGCCAAATCCCATACAAAATGTCGGAAAGAGTTCAAGCAAAAAGAAAGCGAACATGTCAACACTTTTGAAGCAAATATTGGCATGATCGGCTTCGTCTTTCAAGCATCATCACTCACAATCAAACTTGCATTTTCTTTGATGATCAAGTGTTACAACGGTAGTGGTTAAAGAAGGTTAAAGAAAGGGCAATTAGGGAAAGCGATGTTCAAAACGGAACATTCACAGAAAGAAGCGAATGCTCTGTGTCTACTGGTGTTCGACCTTTTCTGGGAACTTCTTAAACTTAAACCGAGGTAAAATTTGAACATTTGAATTTATCTATGACCTTGATTACCCTGACTCTAGCGCTGAAAAAAAGGCACTAGTACTGTAGGTGTGAATTGTAGGCATTCAAAACAACTTCCATAAATAAATCCAAATTTAAAACACACAGAAAAATTTGCATATTCACAAGACAAGACTCGTTTAAATGAAAGTTTTTATATTAAACGAAAAAAATCGAAACTCTAAGAAATTCTTCGAGTTTAAACACCCTGTTGAAACTTCAAGAGTTTCGACTTGTTGAAAATCCAATGAATCTAAACACACTAGATTTTGCTGTGAGTTCAAACTCACTAGGCTTTCTGTGAGCTCAAACTCACTAGGTTTTGCTGTAAGTCCAAACTCACTAGGCCTTCTGTAAGTCCAAACTCTCTAGGCCTTCTGTAAGTCCAAACTCACTAGGCCTTCTGTAAGTCCAAACTCTCTAGGCCTTCTGTAAGTCCAAACTCACTAGGCCTTCTGTAAGTCCAAACTCTCTAGGCCTTCTGTAAGTCCAAACTCACTAGGCCTTCTGTAAGTCCAAACTCTCTAGGCCTTCTGTAAGTCCAAACTCACTAGGCCTTCCGTAAGTCTAAACTCACTAGGTTTTCCGTAAGTCCAAACTCACTAGGCTTTCTGTGAGCTCGAACTCACTAAGTTTTCTGATGGTTTACTCATCAAAATTTCTCGAGTTTGGTAGCAAAAGCTGATAGTTTATTCATTAAAATTCACTCGATTTTTCAATCAATTGCTTGATTGTTTAAGATAAAATAAGCCAATTTCTGCTTTGATCACAGAAAATGAGTAAAGTTTAATGAAAAAAAAATCAAGATTTAGATAAAGTTTTAAAGGTGAAAAATCAAGATTTCAAGGATTTGAAAGGATTTTAAAGGATTTTGAAGGATTTGAAAGGATTTCAAAGATTATCATGGTATTAAAACGACTCTAAACTTGCTTAAATGTTAATTTTTGTAGATGTAGAACAGGTGGAATTTGGAAATATTTCCTTAGAATCTCTCAAATCTCTAAAAATTTGATTGTTCTCGACTTGGAAACCGGAAATTTTTGATATCATTTTCATATGGAAATCTCGTTCTTTTCCAAATCAATTCCAATAATTCTCATTCACCAAATAGCTATCAAAATAAGAAATTCATATTTTATATTCAAAACTACTCCTGTTTACTGTACTGTACTGTACTGTACTGTATTGTAGTGTATTGTAGTGTACTGTACTGTACTGTAGTGTACTGTACTGCACTGTACTGTACTATATTGTACTGTACTGTACTGTACTATCTGCATAATGTCCGCTTTATTATTCTTAGCGTTGATCACACCAACATTCGGCTGTATTCCGACAAAGCCACCAAATCCCGGTTGATAAGTTTTACTTTTTTTCTTTTTTCGAATAAGATATATATGTCGTAGCCGCTAACGAAATTCAGCCGCTAACGAATGATTCGTAATCGGCTAGCCGATTACGAATTACGAATCATTCGTAATCGGCTAACCGCTAACGAATGATTCGTAATCGGCTAACCGCTAACGAATCATTCGTAATCGGCTAGCCGCTAACGAATCATTCGTAATCGGCTAACCGCTAACGAATGATTCGTAATCGGCTAACCGCTAACGAATGATTCGTAATCGGCTAACCGCTAACGAATGATTCGTAATCGGCTAGCCGCTAACGAATCATTCGTAATCGGCTAGCCGCTAACGAATCATTCGTAAACGGCTAGCGAAAAATTTCATTCGTTAGCGGCTACGACATATATATGCTTTATTCATGGGGCGAATAGAAGCGAATCAGATAATCAATAAATAAAGAAATAAACATCTTTATTCTTCATTTTGTTCATAAAAATCTACTTTTTTTTAGACTTTTTGATTTAAAATTAGCAATAATTTCGATTTTCTTGGAAAAAGTCTTTTTTTTACTTCTTCTTTACGTAACGAGTTTCGGACTGCTAAATTTTTTTGTTAAAATCTAATCTCTCGCTTTAATCAGTTAGTAAATCTCTTTTTTAAAATCGGCTTTGACTAATCGATAATCCTAAATCCTGAAATCATCTGCAATAGTAAAGTAATTAAGTCATTAGATCCTTCATCAATTCTAATTCAGTTTGTTGTCCAGTACTCTCGGAGAATCTTTTCCCCCGTGTTGTGCCCGTTGGAGCGTATGAGGGTGAGGGAAATGCTTTACTTGTAGAATATGGCCAGTTAGTCAGTTAGCCAGTTAGTCAGTTAGTCAGTTAACTAGTTAGCTAGTTAACCAGTTAGCCAGTTGGTCAGTTAACCAGTTAACCAGTTAGCTAGTTAGCCAGTTAACTAGTTAGCCAGTCAACCAGTCAACCAGTCAACCAGTCAACCAGTTAACCAGTTGGTCAGTTAGCCAGTTAACCAGTTAACTAGTTAGCTAGTTAGCCAGTTAACCAGCTAACCAGATAACCAGTTAACCAGGCAACCAGTTAACCAGTTAACCAGTTAGCCAGTTAACCAGCTAACCAGATAACCAGTTAACCAGGCAACCAGTTAATCATCATGTTTATACTTTTCATAACTCTTTCGACAATTCCCCAGGTCTCGATCAATGCTCGATCCTCCGCTACTACAACAACGAGCCGTGTCCAACGAATGGCGATATCGTTTGTCATGTATAATTTTTTAAATAATTGATTGTAGCTGTATCTCTAAACTTTTTAAGGATTTGGTTTTTTATAATCATTTCTGGTTTAGATCGATTGTTTTTCTTGTAATCATTTCTGGTTTAGGTTGCTCCAATGACTGACGCTACGACGGCTTATCTACAGTTGCTAAAAGTAGGTTTGAAAAGTTGTGAAAGCATAGAATTATAGTTTATTAAATTCTCAAAGTTTCTTTTCGTTCTTTTCGAATTCTAAATTTCTTAAAATCAGGGAACAACAGTAATTTTCGCTGGTCGAGACGCGGAAAGTATCGACATTTTTGTCACATGTGTCAACGGATTTTGGGTAAGTTTAAGGAGAAGAAGAAGAAGAAGAAAGAAATAAAGAAAGAAGGAGAAAAGAGAAAGAAAGAGAAGAGACATCAATTAGACTCTCAAGCCTCTCAAATTCAATCATTTTCAGGAGTACAACGGACAACGCTTTGACTCAGTCTCTTGTTCGCAGAGTTGAAAAGGCAAATTTGTATTTTTTTATCTTTTATTATCAATAAAGCCGGCTTTCTTTTTTATTTTCCTTAAAAATCATACAAATTCAAATGCAAAGCCGATGCTCGGATATCGGTTGATACGCCGTGATCCATATATTGAAAATCTTCATCATCCAAATCCGGTTCAAAAGCGATTTTCGGTTGCTCATGAATGAATTGAACGGTCGTCGGTTGACCTTGGTGGTTGGCGGTTGGCGTCTCGAACTGAAAATTTTGCAATTATTTCGACAAATCTCATTTGAATATAACAAATATTTGAACTAAAAAAGAAAAAAAATAAAATAAATAAATGAACCAAATAATTGAACTAAGGGACTTTCATTACCGCATAATTCTGCAAAAAGGCGGCCAGCGAGTTTTTCTGTTTGTATTTTTCTGATTGAAAACACCCGCAAAAGCTTTTCTTTTTCTCCAATGATTCTTCGGAATTCTGAAAATCGAGAAAAGATATTCGGAAAAGAGGAGAATTCGAATTTGTAGTGCCTATCCTTAAGATTACAAGATTATTGTCTATTCTTAAGGTTACGAGAGTATTGTCTATCTTTAAGATTATAAGGATTATTGTCTATCCTGAAGATTACAAGATTATTGCCTATCTTTAAGATTATAAGATTATTGTCTATCCTTAAGCTTACAAGAGTATTGTCTATCCTTAAGCTTGCAATGATTACTGTCTATCCTTAAGATTACAAGATTATTGTTTATCCTTAAGCTTACAAGAGTATTGGCTATCTTTAAGCTTACAAGTTTATTGTCTATCCTTAAGATTACAAGGATTATTGTTTATCCTTAAGATTATAAGATTATTGTCTATTCTTAAGGTTACGAGAGTATTGTCTATCTTTAAGATTATAAGATTATTGTCTATCCTTAAGATTACAAGGATTATTGTTTATCCTTAAGCTTACAAGAGTATTGGCTATCTTTAAGCTTACAAGTTTATTGTCTATCTGTCTATCTTTAAGATTACAAGATGACATTAGCTATCTTTAAGCCAATAATTAGCTATCCTTAAGCTTACAGGATTATTATCTATGGCAACTTATTGACTATTATTGACCAATCTACCTTGGCAAACATTCCGAATTTAGCTAATGCATGCAATTGAGTCATCCCGGCACCGATCCCTTTGTTGACGCTTAGTGATTGAGCGATCTGGAATTTTGATTGAAGATTGATTTGCGAGAGTCGTGGCTTTAACTTGGCTAACCATGGCTATTCATTTTGATCGATTAACTGCGGTAACTCGTTGCACTAAAGAGATAAAGAGCTCCACTGCTTGCTCTGCTTGCTCTGCTTGCTCTGCTACTTGCTCTAGTGAACAAGCTGCTCTAGTTGGTTATTTTTAAAAGGCACTCTTCAACGAACTCTCTCAACTCACATGTATCATTTTCTCAGCCAACAGCCTCGCCCGTCCCACTTGCCTTCCCATATAATGTACATGATTGATGGCCTCGGCGGCTACCTAAAAGAGTTAAGAATTGTTTGTAAAGATAGATTTTTTTGATTTATAAGAACTTTTCTAAAATTTATGACTTACCCATTCAACTGAAATTGTCACTAAAATCACACCAATGATGTTAAAGGCGACCAAGCTGAGCACGCCGACGTCTGGCTTGAAATTTTGAAAAGATTACTGTAGTCTTGTTGTAGAGATTACTGTAGTCTTATTGTAAAGATTACTGTAGTCTTATTGTAAAGATTAGTGTAGTCTTATTGTAAAGATTACTGTAGTCTTGTTGTAGAGATTACTGTAGTCTTATTGTAAAGATTACTGTAGTCTTATTGTAAAGATTACTGTAGTCTTGTTGTAAAGATTACTGTAGTCTTATTGTAAAGATTACTGTAGTCTTGTTGTAAAGATTACTGTAGTCTTGTTGTAAAGATTACTGTAGTCTTATTGTAAAGATTACTGTAGTCTTGTTGTAAGTCTTATACTGGATTACTGTGAATTGCTTAGACTAGATAAAGGTTTTGAAGATAACGATATTTAAGATAACGATAATGATACCATAATATCGCCAAAACCAATCGTGAAAATTGAGGTTAACGAGAAGTAGATCGCGTCGAGAATCGACATACCTTTGGGCTTTGTAATATGAGGATTTTTTAAATATTTACCTGTGAAAAAGTTAAAAATAATGCCACCAAGGAGTGGGTAAACGACAAGAAATGAGACGAACATGATCGTCGGAATGACGAGACTCTGAAATTGGGTGGATGTCGGTAGATGTCGGCAATCGATCGAGAAAGTTTCGATTCGAGGAGTCGAACTTGGTCTAACTGAGAGGTCAAACTGAGAGATCAAACTGAAAGGTCAAACTGAGAGGTCAAACTTTAGAGATCAAACTAAGAGGTCAAACTTTAGAAGACTCTGAAATCGGTGGATGTCGGCAATCGATCGAGAAAGTTTCGATTCGAGGAGTCGAACTTGGTCTAACTGAGAGGTCAAGCTTTAGAAATCTAACCGAGAGATCAAACTTTAAAGATAAATCCTCTACCAAACATTCAGCAATCAAAAAAAAAAATTTTAAAAAAAATTTTTTTTTTTTTTTATAAAAAAAAAAAAAAAAAAAAAAAAAAAATATTTACTTTTTCTATCTTTTGATATCCTTTGTAAACCCTCAGAGAATTCAAACAAAAAAAAAAATAGAATAGATTACAGTGGAAAGGGGCATTTTTTTTTGAAAACGAATTTCAAGCTAGATCATTGGTGAAAAATCATCATCAAATGGTGAAAAGATTAGATAAAGTATCGAATAGATTACGGTAGAAAAGGGGACACGTTTTAGCTAGATCACGACAATTACAAGCTAGTTCATTCAATGAAAACCTCTTCAAAGAAATCGAGAACAAATTTCGAGAGAAATTTCCCCGCATCAGCCATAGTGACAAGTGCCAATGGGATACCGATCATTCCTAGAAAAAGAATAAAAAAATGAATCAAAGAATCATTGTAATAAAGTTAGATCTTTAAATAAAAGCTAAAAATCAAATTCTTAACCATAAATGATGACAAAAGCTCTTCCAAGAGATGTCGATGGAGCGATGAAGCCATAACCTGAATACTTTTCAATTCAAAACAAATTAACAACAATTCTGTAAGCTACTGAAAGCCACTGATAAATTGATAATGATAAATGAATCCTTTTCGAAACATCACTAACCAACAGGGATTACAGTAGTGCTTGTGAAAAGAACAGCACTCGCAAAAGTCCATTGATTCTCTTGAGGGATTGAGAAATTCGTCTTTTCCATCAATTCGAATGTATTCCCAGCGTAGGGTTCTTAAGTTTCATTTGTTTTTTTTTTTTCATTTTCATTTCATAAATCTATTTACCGTCTTTTCTCTAATAGTAGTGCACCCCGCAGAGCCGAGTTGATCACTATTTTACAGTTTCCAAGCTTTCACAAAAGCTCAACCCTCAAATCCTCCACTAGATCTCATCGTCAGCTACATACGTCAGCTGATAGTCAGCTACGTCAGCTACAGCTACATCGATAGGTTCTCATAAGCGCTTCTCAAGCTTTCGAGGAATTTAGGCAACGCTCACGGTGCACTACTATTAGAGAGAATACGATATTTGGATCGATTAGAGTTTGTTGATCGTACAAATTATTACCGTATTCTTTCTAATAGTAGTGCACGCCGCAGAGCCGAGTTGGTCACTATTTTACAGTTTCCAAGCTTTCCCAGAAGCTCAACCCTCAAATCCCCCACTAGATCTCATCATCAGCTACATTTTCCGACCCCACATCGATAGGTTCTGATAAGCGCTTCTCGAGATTTCGACGAATTTAGGCGACGCTCACGGTGCACTACTATTAGAGAAAATACGGTAGTTGTTTTATTTAAATATTTTATAACCTTGTTCAAAGATTCGAAACATTTCTCTCGTGTATTCATCGATTAAACGATCAAAATCTTTTGGATTAGCAGAAAGATTCGAGATGAAATCCTAAATCAGCTATCGATTAAAGAAATTTGATTGAAATCAAGAAAAAACTTTCAAGAAAAAAACCTCTTTCATTTGGTGAAATCTCATTGCTGCCATTTCTTTTGCTCTTTGCTCAACCGGGCGCTCGATTAGGAGAAAAACTGAGAATTGTTTATTAGAGTTAGAGGAAACTTATCTCAATCAATCTCAATCAACCCTGAGAGTTGATTCTCTTGATCTGAGAGTTTTGAAGGATGATTTTTGAACGAAAAGCTTTGTTTGTTTCACTAACAAAGCTCTGTATCGAGAGTTATCTCGTAAAGAAGTTGAAAAGCTTTTCAAAGCTAATCTAACTTTTAGAGCTTTCAGAGCCTTGCTTCCCATTAACTTAGCGACGTAATAGTGTTGTGGATAGTGTGCTTGCCTTTGGCCTTCTCCTTTGGCCTTCTCCTTTGGCCTTCTCCTTTGGCCTTCTCCTTTGGCCTTCTCCTTTGGCCTTCTCCTTTGGCCTTCCCCACCGATAAATCTATTTTACTTCTTTGCTAAATCACAACCATTTTAGTGTTAGAGTTAGAGTTAGGTCTAGAGGCTGTAAGTCAGGACAGGGCCTGGTTTTGCCTAGCCTTAGGCCCTGGTTGTTCCAACAACTCTGTGCGCCTGTTTTCCTGAGCTCACCAATCAATACAACTACTACGAAGCCGGTTTCCCTGGGTCAGACCTTGAGGAGCGGGTTTTTGGGCGCCATCTTATCGTCAGCAGGATTGGAAAAACCCGATCAGGCTTGAGGATCGGGGTCAGACCTGATCGGATTTTTCGAATCCTGCTGACGATAAGATGGCGCTAGTTAACTATAATATTTATCGTAGCCGATTAAGATTTCAGCCTTTCAATCTTTTACCTACGAAATGTGCACTGAGAACTCAGTGAGTCAGACTCAGTGAGCCAACTCAGTGAGACTCAGTGAGCCAGATTTCCTTAGCTCACCAATCAATACTCACAAGTACTACGAAGCTGTTTTCCCTGGATCAGCCGGATCAGCCGGATCGGGTCAATAGAAATGTAAATTTTCTTATCTAGATGTAATTTAGATATTTTAAAAAGCCTACCTTGTGCTCCGATCAAAATATACGATACACACAATGTCACAAGGCCAACATGCAAGAAAACCGAGCGAACTCGCTGAAAAAGAAATTTTTAAAAAAGAAATTGAAAAAAAGAAATTCTTCTGTCTTACCTGCAAATGTTGAAAGATTAAAAAGCTCATCTTTTAGGTGATTTTAGAATCTTTGAAATATTTGCATATTTTCTTTTTTTTTTCTTTCTTCTCGTTGGGAAAATCGAGTTGAGACGAGGGAAATTTGGCGAAAGCTATTCGTTTCTTTTTTTTCTACTTACTATTTAGCCTAGAAAAACTAGCACCGAAATCGGTTGATCGGAATTAACGAGAATTAACTCAAAAAAAACCCTTTCAGATTTACGATCGACTTTTAAAACTAAGCTCATTTTGTAGGCAAAAGTTTTCACTGATTTCGTAAAAGCCAAATCATTTGTGTATTTCAAATTCTTGAATTGAAATGTTTGAATTGAAATTCTTGAATTGAAATTCTTGTATTCAAATGCTTGAATTCAAATGCTTGAATTGAAATGCTTGAACTCAAATGCTTGAACTCAAATTCTTGTATTCAAATGCTTGAATTGAAATTCTTGTATTCAAATGCTTGAATTGAAATGCTTGAATTGAAATGCTTGTATTCAAATGCTTGAACTCAAATTCTTGTATTCAAATGCTTGAATTCAAGTTCATGCATTCAAGTTCATGCATTCAAATTCTTGAATTCAAATGCTTGAATTCAAGTTCATCAAATGCTTTAATTCAAGTTTATCACTTCCGATAAGTTTCATTAGAATCCTCATCAAATTTGGCTAGAGAAAAGTGCAATTTGTTTGGGGTAATCACCAGCAAAAACATAGAGAAAAACGGCGTTAGAATTAGTACGGGGAGTCTCGAAAATCTCTATACAAATGATATAGCTTTTTGAAATTAGTGAAAAATTAGTTACAAAAGTCGCTTTGAGCTTAAGTTTTGGCTAGCTTTTGGCTAGTAGGCTTAGTTTTGAAAGTTCGTTGGATAAGTCTGGAAGGGTTAAAGGGGATCAAAGCCTAATCAGAATCTATCAGCATCTATTTGAAGTATATAGTTTATAGATATAAATATCTAGATTTAAGAAAAATTTGTAGTGCTTAAATTGTTCTCTAGAGGAGGGGAAGGGGAAGGGGCAAATCGCCGGACATAGCAACAATTTTCGAAGGAGAAAAAGAAGGGAAATGATCGATTGTCAGTAAAGAGAAGAGGGATTTGAGTTCTTAGGATCTTTTTGAGATCCAGATTTGTTATTTGATTTGAGATCTAGATTCAAGTATCCAATGAATATCCAATGAATATCCAATGAAAATTTCATTTATCTAAGTGAGCTTTTACGAGCGATTAAAGGGGGGAATTTTGGTGAAGGCTCCGTTTAAAGGATCTTTCGCAAATGAAACAACAACTATTAGGTAGATGCATAAGAAATGTCAACTGTCAAATGTCAAATGCGGATGTCAACATTTTCGTAAATTTCCAACGATAGAAACGATAGAAATTCCGATAGAAAGCTGATAGAAAGCTGAAAGGCTTTCTATCTTTCTATCGAGCGATTCAGAAATTTCGAGCCTATTTTGTAGAGGAGATTTCAAAAATTTCAACTTTCAACTTATAACATTCATCGATTTCAGCTTTCTATCGTTAGATAGATATTCTATCTTTTTCTAAAATTCAAAGAATTCATTTCAATTCAATTATTCCAACGATAGAAAGCTGAAATCGATGAATTTTATAAGTTGAAAGTTGAAATTTTTGAAATCTCCTCTACAAAATAGGCTCGAAATTTCTTCAATCGCTCGATCGTTTGATACACGTTTTAGTCGATTTTGTAGAGGAGATTTATAGCTTTCAAATAGTTTATAACATTCATCGATATCAGCTTTCTATCGTCGGAAATTTATGTTGTAAAATGTATGTTGTGAAATTTATGTTATGAAAATGTTGAAATCCGCATGTACCTAATAGGTTTTTATCTATCACTTGAAACTCACATTTAAAACTTTGTTCTTCTTGACGAAAAAGGCAAGTGACTGGCAGTGTCTATCACTTGCCTTTTTCGTCAAGAAGAACAAAGTTTTAAATGTGAGTTTCAAGATTAATACTGTGTAAAATGGATTTGTAATGGGTACATCTCACTAGCAGTAATCAACTGATTCATCAACTGACTCGATTCCTTTTTTGGTCACTCGCATTTCGGCTTTGAAATTTCTTCAATCGCTCGATCGTTTGATACACGTTTTAGTCTATTTTATAGAGGAAATTTCAAAACTTTCAAATAGTTTTTAACATTCATCGATTTGAGGTTTCTATCGTTTCTATCGTTGGAATTTCTATCGTTTCTATCGTTTCTATCGTTGGAAATATATGTAAATGCTGAAATATATGTAAATCCGCATTTCTTATGCATGTACACTACTGGACAATGAAATATGATATTTGAAAAAACGATCGTCACTTTCGCGCGTCTATAACTCGCTTGTCTTTACCGTATTTCTAAATATTAGGTTGGCAACTTAATAATGACGCGTTTATGTAACAAATCATTTATTTCAAAAAAACACAAAAGAAGAGCTTTCAATTCGAAAGGTATTCTCCATTAGTATCTATGACTTCTTCCCATCTTCTGCGCAAATCCCGGATCCCATCCTCGAAGAACTTGGGAGTTTTTGAGGCGAAGTAGTCATTCACTGCTTTTATGACCTGAGCATGATCATCGAACTTTTCTCCCTCCAAAAAGTGCTTCAGTGACCGAAACAAAAGTAATCTGAAGGAGCCAGATCAGGTGAATAAGACGCGTGGGGGCAAAACTTTCCAGCCAAGTTCCTCGATTTTCTTATAAGTGATCTTTGCAGTGTGAGGTTTTGCGTTGTCGTGTAAAAATCTGACTCTCTCCGGTTTGAGCCCCAATTTCTTCAAAGACTCGTTAACTCTCATTAATTGCTTCGAATAAAGATCAGCATCGACGGTTTGGCCAGGTTTCAGCACTTCACAATGCACCAATCCCTTGAAGTTCCACCAGCAACAGAGCATTATCTTCTTCCCATGGATATCAGGTTTGGGAGTGGTTTGAGGGGTCTGCCCAGCAGATAGCCATTGATTTTTGCGTTTAACGTTCTCGTAGTTGATCCACGTTTCGTCAGAAGTCAAAACCTTATGAAAAAAGTCGTTTGATTTACATTTTTGTAGCAAAATTGAGGCGACATTTTGTTGCTTTGGGCCAGTTCGTGAGGAACCCATTTTCCAACTCGATTCTTTTCCCAAGTTTGTGTAAATAGTTTTTGATTGTCGTATGGGATACTTCAAATATTTCTGCCAATTCACGAACGGTGAGTGTTGGGCAATCTTCAATTAAGACGAGCAAGTCATCGTCGACCGCTTCTGGAGGATGTCCTTGGTGTGGCTCGTCTACGAGGCTTTCATCGCCGCCTTGGAATCTTTGAAACCATCGTTGACATTGCCGAACGTGTATACTTTCCTCCCCAAAAACAGTGGTGATCGTGCGATGAGATTCAGCTGGTGATTTTCCTTGTTTAAAATCGTAGAACAATGCAGCTCGAATACGGAATTTTTTGTCCTTCATTTTTTGCCAAAAAGCAAATGATGAAATTTGGAGCACTGAATGTTATTTATGTAGACATCTTTTACTTTGTATATATGCAAAAAAGAGGGAAGAAACGGCGCTTGAAATTACAAAAAACATGTTAAGTAGTGACGCGTCATTATTAAGTTGCCAACCTAATATTAGGTGTGTGAAAAAGTAATCCACGTTTTTAATTTGGAATTTGGAAGCGTTTTAAGGGGGGGGGGGGGGGGCAATCGTTGAGAGAAGATTTTTTTGCAAGAGGGTACTAATACATATGACCACCAGTGTATTTGGAAACGGAACCCATAATGCTTGTTCAGCAGCCAAAGCTTAGCTCTAGAAAATGGTCAAACAGATTTTTTAAAAACTTTATTTGTTTTTGAATTTAGACCCCATTTCTCACAGAGATAGTTGCGACCAAAGACATCCCTGAAAGACCAGCAACTTAAAAATTGCAGGTGTTTCAATTTTGTTGTGTAAATACACTACTGGACAATGAAATATGATATTTGAAAAAAGATCGTCACTTTCGCGCGTCTGTAACTCCCTTATCTTTACCGTATTTCTAAATATTAATATTACCATTGTGTAGCCCTTGAAAAGAGCTTTCAGAAAATGTATAACACTAATAGTTTAAACTCAAAGACAAGGGAATTACAGACGCGCGAAAGTGACGATCGTTTTTTCAAATATCATATTTCATTGTGCAGTACTGTAGTTATAGTAGAACAAAATTTTTTGTTTGTTGCTCTAGCTACAAATAGAGCTAATAGGGGTTTCTAGGGATTCTTTAGCTTTCTTTAGCTATAGAGTTTCTATAGATTGAGGGTATTGTTGAAATGTTGAAAATGAAATGTTCAAATTATGTAAATCCGCATTTCTTATGCATTTACCTAATATATCAATATTTTTAAAGCTTTAAAAAAAGCTTATCTTTGCTTTATCTTTGCTTTATCTTTTATAGCTTTTAGATATAGAAGAAATTCTTATAGAAGAGGTTTTAGCTTACCTTTTCTTTATCTTTCTCTTTCTTTTATAGTTATAATCGATTTTTAAAGTTAAAATCGAAGTTAAAATAGATATTTCTGGAATAGTTTTGTGTTTGTTTTGAATAGTTTTTGAAAGAGTCTGTCAACTTAAAAGCTAGCTTTGACCAGAGCCTTGACTAGAGCCTTGACCAGAGACTTGACCAGAGACTTGACCAGAGCCTTGACTAGAGCCTTGACCAGAGACTTGACCAGAGACTTGACCAGAGACTTGACCAGAGCCTTGACTAGAGCCTTGACCAGAGACTTGACCAGAGCCTTGACCAGAGCCTTGACTAGAGCCTTGACCAGAGACTTGACCAGAGCCTTGACTAGAGCCTTTTCTTCCGGAAAACTCACATTTCTCCTATCGTTATCTGCATCGATTGCATGGATGATCGTTGATTTCATTTCAAGCATTCTTTTTCAAGCATTCAAGCATTCAAGAAAAGAAAATTTAGTGAATTCTCGGAGACGATATTGTAAAAGCGTATTATAGAAATATCGTATTATAG